ATGTTATATTACCCCANTAAATATGGGTAATATAGATCCTAAAATTAGAAACTCAAATATGGGGTAAGTAAATATATGAATTTTATAATATTAAAAACTCATTATATTTACCCCTATTACCCACCCATAATCATGCTCTAAGGTGCGTAAGAAAAAATGGAAACAAAGAGTTCGACGAAGAGATTCGGTGAGTTCTCCGAGGAGGGATTTCAAGACTGATGCGAGCTCTAGTGAGAAGAAACCAACCAATTACATACCAAAATATGATCTGGAGCAAGCCTTTAAGAGTAATGGTGGGTTTCGTGACTCGGTATTCAGAAAAGGTTTAGAGAATCAGAAGATCAAGAGATCACACTTGAAAAGAAGCAGATTGATAGCAAATACGGGTGTGAAACGTGGGTCTCATCTCTTTGAGTATGGAATTCAGTCACATGATCCTACAAACCTCGTCAACCCGGATTATCAAATGAGGGAAAAAGCTGAGAGGGTTCGTAATGATCAGAACAAAGCTGTTAAGCAGGAGAGAACTCGAGAACCAGATTATTCACGAATTGCAGATGGCAGAGACAAACGTGGTGAATATGACGGTCGAAACACACAAAGAACCAAACCGCAATAATGATCGGTTTTTGTGAAGGGATTTTGGTCAATTGCAGGATCAAAACAAATTGATTTGTTCTACTAGAATGCGAGAACGAAATGTATTGAAGACTAAACATGATAGATGGAGGAATCGTGGTTCAGAGGAAGACTTGGAGTACTGGGTAAACTGTTTTGAAAAACCTTGTGGTGATAATAATATCCCAACTAGTGAAAGATTGTAGGTTGTTTATCACAGTCTGCAAGGAGCAACCGGTAATTGGATTAAAGAGCTTTGGAAAGAGAATCCTCCAAACAGTTGGGATGATTTCAAGAGGATGATTTGACGAGAGCATGCAGGAATTGGGAAACCAATAAGTCAGCCTACCTCGAGAACTGAGAAACCTGAAGAACCGAGAACAGAATATCAACCAATATGGGCTGGAAAATCTGCAAGAAAGAGGCCAGACAACAATTACAGGGTACCAAGGGTCTTTGAGGAGGAATACATTGACAAAGGAGAAGATCCTATGGAAAATGGGTATTTGGGGATCCGCCAAGTTGATTATGTCCGAGATTATAGAAATAGGTTTGAAACCTTTTGTCTAAATTCTACTAGCTTACTAGGACAACACTTAGAGGCGTTTTTCTTGCAAGGCTTAAAGCCTAGATTTCAATATGCAATTCGTCAGCTTCAACCGAATGGGATTTTACACATGATGGATTTAGCACAATGGATAGAGGAAGCTAATGAATTCAACAGTCGGAGGAGCACTAGAGAGGATACAAGGGAACAAAGGTCTGGGGCGAGAGAGTTGATGATTTTAAGGCTGAGGAGGCTAGAAGATCAGCTAGATGGGAGTGGTGTTTATGACAAACTAGACCTATCAAAGCAAAACAATGTAACTGGTCATATGGCTTGGGATCCCGATGAAGGAAACACATTTAGAGTTAAAGGCTTGATTGGTAAGGAGGAGGTTACAATGGAAATAGATTCTGGAGCTACAAGTAGTTTCATGTCAATGGCATTAGCTGTTTAACTTGGCATATCATACCAGGTCAAGGAACCAATCAAGGTGACTCTGGAAAATGGAATAGAAGTGGACTGTCTAGGAAAATGCAAAGCTATATTGATCTATGTTCAAGAGGTTCCAATAGTAGAAGACTATCTCCTACTGAATCTGCCTGACATGGATGTTATTTTGGGTTATAGTTGGCTAGCAAGTTTGGGAGATACATGGATAGATTGGCAGAAACATACTTTGTCCTTCTTGCACAACCAAGATTGGACTACTATTAAGGGTAAAGAAGGAGAGTTGAAGCAGTTGATCAAAAAGAATCACCAAGTGCTACTTCATAAAACCTCCAAGGTGAACCCTCATACTAAACAACATCTAGTTTTGGTCATTGGTGCGAGTAACATCGTTGAAGAGATTGTAAAGGGGGCTGATATATGGATTAGTGGCAGTGAAGTTGAGACAAGGAAGGTAGATGACCCTAGAATTGTGTTTGGTGATGAAATGAGGTCTGACCTTGATGGCAAGACACGTCTTTCTAGAGTGAGTTATGATAGGAGTGGCTGGATTGTTGATGAGGATACAAGGACGAAGATGTTGAATTGGAAAGGTTCTCTTAATGGAAATATCAACTACCTACAAAAAAGTGACCTTGACACTAAGGTATACACATGGTTGAGGGAGATCATTGGAAAAGAGCAAGATGTTCTATGGCACATAGCTGACCGTGCGACACACAAGGAAGTGTTGTGTACTACACGCAAAAGAAGAATGTTGAGGAGTTTCTGAGTTACATGAGGAAGAGCCATGGCCGTGTACTAATCATCAAGCCAACTAATAGACAAGAAGGTTTGACAGTGGCTTTGGCCGGAGGTTCAGGTTGGTATAAATGGCTTACTTAGGCATCCGAAGTGATTTCCACCGCAGTAACAAGAGCTGTAACTGTCCAGCCAGACGTATCTGGTGAGTTAAGACGATCATGGGAACCAACTGAGATGTTCACCTTGAGGACAAGGTGAATGTTAAGGGGGCTACATTGATAGAGTTCACAAATGGGTTTGACATAACTTATGATGTTGGGCCTTAAGCCCATTATTAGTTTACTTATTTTAATAGCTTATGGCATTGGATGCTTTTATATGGTGTTACTTTTGTATTGAGAACCTTTATCAATATTTTATCAAAAACATGATGAATATCCAAATAGT